GAGGCAGGGGATTAGCAAGGATGGTGGAATGTGATGGACATCATTATCCAAAGCACATGTGTGAAGAAACAAATTGGTGCCAACCTACTTTATATCAAACAGAGATATGAAAAATTGTGGTATATATGTGTAATAAGAATTGTAATGTGAAAAAAGTACATATATAAAGACAAATTGGCGTCAACATACTTTATACAAAGTTATGAAAAACTGTGCTCTATATGTATAATACATTCCATTGTTGTGTATTTACAAAAATAAAATCAATTACAAAAAGATATGATCCTACCATTAGAAGATCCAAAAAGCTCTACCATATGACTTCTCGAGTAGTTAACAAATTAAGTAGCAGGATACAAAATCAATATACAAAAATTGATAGCTTTCCATACATCAATAATGAATTCACTGAAAAAGAAATCAGGAAAACAATTCTACTCCCAGTAGCCTCAGGAAAAAAATATTAAATACCTTAGAATAAATCTAACCAAGGAGATGAAGGACCTCTACATTGAAAAATTATAAAGCAATGAAAGACAGTAAGAAGATGGAAAGCCTTCCCATGTTCATAGATACACAGAATCAATATTGTTGAAATGGCTATATTACCAAAAGCAACCTACTGAGTCAACACAGTCCCCATCAAAATTCAATGACATTATTCACAGAACTAGAAAAAACAGTCCCAAAGCTCATCTAAGAAAAAAATGCTGGAAGTATCATAATACCTGATACTACAGAGCTATAGTAACAAAAACTGCATGTTATTGGCATTAAAACAGAAACATAGACAGAGAGACAAACCCACAGATGTAGTCATATGATCCTTGGCAAAACATCATTTCAACAAGATAAGCATCAGTATATGTAAAGACTTCAAAAAACTTAACCATAAAGCAAATAACTTCATCAATAAATGGGTAAATGAACTAAGTAGATACTTCTCAAAAGAAGAAAAACAAATGGCCAACAAATATATGGGGAAAAAAGGTCCAACATCATTTGCTACAGGGATTTTGCTAAGTGCAAAATGCATATTGAAATGATACTGAGGTTTCATCTTACTCAAGTAAGAATAGTAGTCATCAAGAATACAAGTAATAAATACTGGTGTGGATGTGAGGGGGAAGGACCCTTATACTGTGTGGCTGGGACTGTAAATCACTGTGGAAATCAGCATGGAAATTCCTCAAAAGGCTAGGAATGAACCACCATATACCTGGCTATGCCACTCCTCACTGTTTATCAAAAGATAAATAAAATAAAGGCAGCAGACTATAGTGACACATGCATATCACTGTTTATTACAGCCCAATTCACAATAGCTAAATTATGGAAACAACCTAGGGGCCCATTATCAGATGAATGGATGAACAAAGTGTGGTCTATACAGAGTGAAGTTTTACTTAGTCACCAAGAAGAATAAAATAATGCCACTTGCAAGGAAATGAATGGAACTTAAGAATGTTAAGTAAAAATGCCACACTCAGAAAGTCAAGGGTTGAATATTTTCTCCCATATGTGGAAATTAGGGAGAAAAAAATGGGATGGGGAACATCATTAAATTAGAAAAAAGACAAGTTGAGGAAAGGGACCAATGTGAGGGAAAGAGGAGGTATTGGAGAATGAAATTGACCAAATGATATTGTGCACATGTATGAATATGCAATAAAGAATCCCACTAATTGTATAATTATACTGCTCCAATAAATTTTTAAATAAATAAAGTTTGCATTCAAGGAAATGAAAATCAAAATTGTGTGTGTGTGTGTGTGTGTGTGTGTGTGTGTGTGTGTGCGCGCGCGCATAACACTGAAGGACAATTTCATATGGGGAGGGCCACAGGATTACACTTAAGGTTACACGAGTGCATGGGTCAGCACAAACTTAGCAACCACTGCTTCTGCTGCTGGACACCGGGCCTGCCACTATCTCTCCTGACAACTGTGCATTGTTATTGCCATTCGTGCAGCCTTTGCACAAGCACCAGTTTGTCTGTGTCACCACCACATCCTAGTCAGAGTGTCTGGGGAAACTGAAACCTCATCCAGTATCAGCTGCATGAAAGACTGTGGGAATTTTCCTCTTCCAGGGAGTAGAGGCAGTTTCTGCTTCCCACCAAGGAATTCAGTGATATAATAATAGGGCTCAGGTGCTGGGGACTGAGATGGAGAAAGAATGACAAAGTTCAATGATTGAGCAATCATCTGATATAAAACTTCAACAATTTGTAGGCACATGGTTTTGGCTCAAGAACAAGAGACTGATAAATGACATCTTTCCACTCATTCCCTTGAGAATATGTTTGATGGAGCTTTTATACCAGTTGATCTCATAGATAACTGAACTGGCATTATGTGATGGTGAATTGATTACTCAAAACACCTTTTTATTAGCTTTTACGTGGCCAATGATTTTTTTTAATCTTACATTTCTAACCTCATTATGTAACCATTTATTCATTTCTTTACTGAAAACTGCTATTCTCCCTTGTCTTCATTTATATGACTGCTTTCACCTGCAGAAAGGTGAAAGGCCATTGTGCTGCTCTAGATGATAGGTTGCTCTTCTAGCATTGCAAGTGTCTTCATCAGACTGTTTTCATTCACAGAGGTTGAGCTTTCACAGGTGCAGAACACATGGGTCCTTTTCACTACCAGGTGATAGAGTTGCAATCACTATTCATTCAAATTAGCCAGACAGGGGCTGGGGATGTGACTCAAGCGGTAGCATGCTCGCCTAGCGTGGGTGCGGCCCAGGTTCGATCCTCAGCACCACATACAAATAAAGATGTTGTGTCCCGCCGAGAACTAAGAAAAAATAAATAAATGTTAAAATTCTCTCTCTCTCTCTCTCTCTCTCTCTCTCTCTCTCTCTCTCTC